TGAAAATATTTTTTGGACTATTATTCTCACACAATTTATGAAGAACTATTTTTCTTTAAAAAAATGGATGAATAAAACCAATTTGAAATTCACGAAATTGCCTGAACTTAAAAATATTAGAGATTAAAATATTGAGAACTATTTTAATATGTTTTATAATTTGTGGAATCCCTAAATAATGTAATTTTTTTATTTGACTCTAAGAGTCCGACCATAGCATTTTGAGAACTTTCTCTCTACGAAACCCACTGCCACCGCCACATCAAAAATCGCATTTTAAATTGGTTTAAGCTAACGTTCTAGCTCTTTTACTGTCTGTGGTGACATCTAATGTTTCTCTATTTTTATTATTTTGCTAAATTTACGTAACTGCCTGTATTTTTATTTGAAGGATGAAGTCACTAACTCGTCCTCATCTGCTGCCGGCACTCGAGTCTTTGTCCGCACCTCCACCGTCGTTGGAAACGTTGAGGCCCCCATCTGCAAAATCGAACACGCCTTCGCAAACCTTGCCACCATCTAGCGAGGGACAGGCGAAAATCACCGAAGTAACTTCAAAGAAAAATATTCCGTCTCCTCTGACACCACCACCACCACCACCGCCTCTGGAAGACGTGATAAAGAAGCTTTCGGAAACGGCGAAGGCGGTGGCGACCTTAACGCGAAAGAAACCAGACCGGTTTGCAAAATGTCGAGAATCACCAGATTTATTGAAGTCAACGATGTCGGCTATATCGGAGAATCTAACTACGACTCAGCAATCGGCCACTTCTGAAGTACAGGACTCGTCGAAACGCGGCAGATCGCAAAAGGAAGCACGAAAGACAACAGACGCGCTCTCTCGTTTCATCGAGGATTCTCGGGGAAAGGCCGCCAGATTAGCTCAGATAACTGACGATCACTCTGTCAATAAGACGACACGTTCTGAACCCAGGACCTTGGAGAGGAATCCAAAGACAGGTCCACCGAAGAGCGGCGGTTTATTTCGAAGAAATACTGCTGTAACGAACAGGGACGCTTCTTGGTTTGTGGAGTCAGGAGACGTGACTCCGTCAAACTCCATGCCCTTCTCCACATTTGAAGAAACGTCTGCCACTGTAACTTTGACCCCGATATTTCATCCCGCAACGTCTTGCTACGTGGCGTTCGAAGAAACAGATAAACAACCGAATGCCCCGAAGAAGGACGAAGACAGTGATGATGAAGATGATGATGATGATCAGGTGATTATCTTCTCTTCTCAAACATGTAGAAGAGGGTCATTCAAATATAAACCGGAACTTCATTTATTTGTCACTGTTTATTTGATTTACGTCTCCGGGAATATGTGACGTTAAAATATAGAAGAGACAGCCATGCACACGACTCGCATACTCATATTTGCCATTGCAAAATCACCGCATTGAACAGAAAGTATCAATGTCAGTTACACTACGCGTAATTATCCGTTTTCTCGCCAAAAATGTTTAAAATTAAATGAAATTTTGAAGAGCCTCAGGACAGTTTGATCATGCTTTTCTGAATAAGAAGCAAGTATTCAATTCGGACCAGATGTGTCGTAATGGCCGTGATAAAGGGGAAAATAAAATGTTATAAACGGCGTTCAACGACTTGCGTTAGTGAAGGCAAAAAGCAGTGGATTGTTGAAGGCGATAACGACGTTGCTGTTACTTTTTGCATCAGGGGTATGTCACCAATCTATTGTGGATCTATTGGGGATGGATCGGATGGCTGCCACCAATTCACGATGTCGTTCTGCGCAACAACATACGGTCCCGAACGCTAGCTGCAACACGTGAGGAACTCACCAATTTACACTGGATATTTCTAAAACACTTACTTTATTGTTCGGACTTGTTCCCACGTGACTAACAGACTTGTACAAGGATGTTTAGTTTCTGAAGAAGGGATTTGGTGCAGAAAGACTGAAGACGGCGGGGCGGTCAAACAGTACGGGAGCAATTTGCAACTGAAGCACATGTCTTCATTTTTATGAACAAATCAGAAACTTGCAAACGCGATAGAGGAAATGTATTTCTGTTGGAGGAAACTATGGTGAAAAATATGTAAGACCATTTTCATTTTTATTTACAATCAATAACGCTGTGTTACAATTTTCCGGTTCATATTTGAATGACCTAAATATTTATAAACAATACCTTTTAGGGCTAATGATATACGATATAATTAGATGAAATATGAGATGGCAGGTTTTAATACGGGCACGTAAATATATCGCAAACTAAATATAATATCGTAGGAACTCTGTGTGTAGAGGTAAGTAGAAGGAACAATACACTATCTCCCGCATAATTTCCTTTTAGTTCATTCGTGCACCACATTTTCACAAATTGACCGCATCAAACTTGCGACTTTCAGCCTCAGGACGACTCGATCATAAGTCGTCACTTACACGCACTCCGCCAATGACATCTGAGCACTGGTCATTGTACTCGCGAAGAGATGAAACCCCTCCTCCTCTTTCACTATAACTTTGTCACCCGGAATTTGCTCGCGTTACGTCACAAATATCTATTATTTTATTTGGTGGACATTTCACCAACCTCTTACAAGAAAGAAAATTAATGTTTCTTTCCCAAAAAATAGATAACGTATTCTTTCCCAAAAAATATTCGTAATTAGCCGTATTTCAAAACTATCATCCTTTTATTATCCATATATTTCAATAAAGAATCTACTTCTCATGGAACATACACACAGATGGAATAAATTCACAGCAGTCCGCTACGCAACAATACGACATTCCGAGTCGTACCGCCTTTCACTCTTTCTGGTTGTTTATTACCGATAACTGATTTTGAGTGGCCCAGATTTCTTTGCGATTTCTACAGTCCGCTTCATTTGATTGGAGACGTGTGGCCCTTCCGCAGCTGAGCGGCTACTCGCTGCCGTACTCCATCGGGCCGGCGCCGCTCAACCCGCAGTCGGCGCAGCTGACGCCGCTCACCGGCAGGCGCTCCTTGGGCCCCGCGCAGGCGCGCTCGCAGACGCCGGCCTCGGCGCAGACGCCTGCGCCCCCGCCGCCCGCGCAGACGCCGGCCAGCTACCGGCGCTGCGAGGCACTCAAGTGGGCGCGTGGCGAACAGCTGCACCCGCACTGCCCCTTCATCGCCTTCCCCAACGACGCAGAGCAGCGCTCGCTCAGGCCCTGGCCCAGCAACAGGCTCACCAGGTGACTCACTCAGCGCTCGCTCAGGCTCTGGCCCAGGAACAGGCTCACCAGGTGGTTCACACAGCGCCCGCTCAGGCGCTGGCCCAGCAACCGGCTCACTAGGTGACCCATCAAGCGCTCGCTCAGTTCCTGGCCTAGCAACAGGCTCACCAGGTGACTCACACAGTGCTTGCTCTGGCCGTGGGCCAGGAACAGTCTTACTAGGAGACCCACACAGCGCTTGCTCAGACCAGATGACTCACACAACAGTCTCTGAAGCTTATGGCTCAGAAACTGGCTAGCAGGTGACCACGCGCACTGTTCTCCCTGGTCCTTGTCCACGAACATGCTCACCAGTTGTCAAAGCACAGTCAGCGCTTTCTGAAGAATATAGGTTCAGAGCTTTCTCAAACCGTGGTCTACTAAGTAACGCAGCAAGTGGCACAGGGTCGTAATTCGCTCTCTCAAGCCGTGATCTACTAACAGATACATACGTTACTCACTCTGGTCCTGCCAACCATACTCACCAGAGTGTTCACCAACTGCTCAAACTATGCTCTCTAAACTCTCTGGAAAATCTCTCTCACTCTATTCATGGCCCAGCTATTTACCAAGCGAATCTTATAGACGCTCACCAGACCAACAGAAGAATAATTATATAACGGACTTGCTTACAAGGCGAGTATGCTTGAAGACGAGCCCTTGAGGAGGGAGAGCGCTCACCCTGTGTCGGACGTGTTGCGCAGGAGCATCTTCACGGGCGCGCCGCGCTACGTGGCGCCGCAGGACCTGGAGGAGGCGCTGTCGCCCGAGGAGCTGCTGGCGCGCAAGGCCTTCGAGGACATGTGGCGGCGCGAGTTCCGCGGCCAGGCCGAGCGCCTGAGGGAGGCGCGCCACGCCGCCGCCGCCGACAACTTCACGCTGCCCGACTACGACGTACGCCTCGCTGCCACGCCCCATTTTCCCGTCTTTCTGCCACGCCCACTTCGACCCTCCCTGCCTCGCCCTCGCCGCCTCGCTCCTCCGCGCCTCACCCTCCCCTGTCTCTCTCTCTCGAAAATCCTCTCCGTGTGTCTAACCTTTCTACTCATATCACCCATTACTCTTCGTTCCGTGACCGCCACTCGTCTCTTATCACTCGACCCCTATCCTCGCCTCGCTATGGCCCATGCAATACGACGTATAATTTACCTATTGCCTTTCGACACCCTTCCTTTCCCTACCACCCCCTCAACTCACCCCGTGGCCCCTGCCCTCCCCACTGAAATAATGCGTTTGAAACTAACCCAGTGCCGTTTATCATTTAGCCAATTCAAAACTACTTTATTTTCATCTCGTTAAATTTGTATGAACAGAATGTGTTGTTCCTTTATACCAGCTACAATAATGAATCGTACTAACCATCTTTGTCAATTTTCCGTATATCAAAGAAATGTACCAACGACAAGTCTGGTTGCCGTACACCTCGTGGATGTTCAATATGATTCGTAGATCCTTAACTCTCCGAAGAAATCCCACTTTCGTCGCACATTTCCTTCACACTACGTACATTAACTTTTCTCTCGGTGCTCGGCACTATCTCTCTCTCACTACAATAGTCCCAGTACTTCTAGGGTTGACGTTTGTCCATGAAAACTCTAGCGACATTCCTTCAGAAAGTTTTTTAATGCAGTTCAGCTAAAATATATGTTAGTTTTTTTGAGTCAAAACAGTTGCAGAGATAGCGATATAACACCAGTTCCAATTGGTGAAGTTTTGGTTGCTTGTTGCGCGACGGCAGGTGGCGGACCCGACGCTGTACAACTTGCTGCGCTTCCGTCCGTGCATCATGCCGCTGGCCGGGTGCGGCCAGGAGCAGCTGTCCCCGGAGTCGCGCACCGACTTCCTGCACGCGCTGGTGCCGCTCACGCCCAAGCAGCTCATCCATGTGCGCCTGGCGCCGACGCAGGTGGACTACGGCACCGTAAGGGCTCGCGGACGTTGGGGAGTTTGTATTGACTAGACCAGTGCTTTGTGACGTCACAAAAACCGCTCTCCTGCTCCGATCGGAGCGGATGAGCCAAGGCAGTGCCCGATGTGACAGCGGGCGTACAGTGTTCCCAAAGTGGTACGAAAGGGGGGGAAAACCATAATAATTACGTCTATAAATAGTATTTATTATTTAAATGTTTATGATTCAATAAAATATGAAAAATTAAAAAAAACATAAGGTAGATTATTTCATAACAGAAAGTAATATCCGTCTCGATCGTAGCCAGTAATTTCACTTCCGTTCTTCCAACACAACTTTATTTGAGAAGAATATTTTAACATTCTAACACAATATTTTATAGTGAGAGAATGTGTTGGTAGCTAAATGAGTTGTAATAAAACGAGAATAGTAAGTATTAGGAATCTAAATTACTAAAACCCATTGATATTACCTACAAATTATCCGTAATGAATAACCAATTCATTTAACTTACATAAGAATTAGCATAGAAGGAGGATTATTACATTTTTATTACAAAAATATATGAAAAGTATTCTTACATATTTATCACACTTCTGAAAAAAAACTTGAACAGGCGCGTAGATGGCATGGGTCAATTTTTGGCGAATTTGGCGTAAATATGAGAGGGACTTGGACAATACATTACCGCTATCTTGTGTCGCAGTAGACAACTAGAGAATACCTGGCTTCCGACCATGTTGAGTTCAAACATCAACGCGTATCGCCATTTTGTTTTCGAAGGCAGCATTTATACCGCCAGAGCGATCGCTTAGGGTTAATAGGAAATATATGTATAATTTTATTTTCTGTCAACACTTGAGCTTGATAGTGTCAGAACAACACTTGCGACAGACAGGTTTTCATCCCACAATATAGAAACGCCCCCGCGTTTCCCCTTTGTCTTGCTACTCCTTGGTCAGCCACACTGCTGGAACGTGGTGTTGAGCCTCCGCAGCATCCGAATCCTTTTCTATCATCAATATCAAACTTTTCCAGAGTTATTTTTCGTTTGCCATTCCAAAAAATACTCAGGGTATGCTGAAAATGGACACACTATGGGTTTTTGTTGACCACAAAGAGACATAGTTAATACGTCGGAATATCGTCGATTTTTGCAGTATAATTACAACACGGCGCGCGGCAATGGTGTAACGTTTAGCGTATCGGACTGTCATACCCAAGTTGACGGATTCTAACCCGATCGAAGCAGTGAATTTTTTTTAAGGGCGAAAGAATTCTTCGTAAGTCTTCCTTGAGAGAGGAAGTAAAGCCGTCTGACCCATGTTAGTAGATTTACTTGCATGTAAAAGATTCTCAAACCTAAATGACGCCTCTGAGCTAAATTCAAATTGCCTGTTTCTCGCCCTAGAAATACCTCCTTTGCTAGTTGGTGAAAGGAGCGTAGCGAAATTTGCGTGGTCAGACGGAAGAGCATGGCCTGAGTCTCGCCACGTAAAATAAGGCATTAATTCAATTCGCCCCACTTTTGCTCTTAATGTAACAGAACATTAATGAAGAAAAATTTAAAAGATAAGTCAGTTAGTTACAAGCAAGCCCAAGTGAAAATAATTAGTGAATGATAATACATGTTTTTAATGGGATTTGTTATTTGTGACGTTCATGTCACCTTTTGAATAATTTCAATCATCGCTTAGAGTCTTAGTTGTATTCAATTCAATTCAACACTTCCTGTAATTACGTAGTAAGATGAAAAACAAAATTGGGGGTTTAAAACGATTAACTTTGTTAAAGGAGTGGATCGACTTGTACGTCCCTTTCCCATTGGGCCGCAGGTGGGCGTGGGCAGCCGCGTGAGCACCAAGGTGCGCGTGCACAACGACAACGCGCTGCCCGTCAAAGTGAACATCGGGTCGCCGGTGGTGTGCGTCTCGGTGGTCGGAGACGGCGTGGTGTACGTGCACCCGCACGACGCCGCCGAGCTCGAGATCGTCTTCCAGCCCACCACACTGGGGCGCTTCAACGGGTACGTGCCGCCTCACAACGGAGCGCCTCCGCACCGCCGCCAGAGGGATTGCAGCGAGGAACGAACGAGGAAGTACATTGCGTAAGATGCTGGAAGTGTTGTCTCCTTCATTTCTTTTCCAGCACTCTGCTGGCTACGAACATTAATTGTCACTCCAGTACATATGACCGAGGTCCTGACGACGGTGGCAGGATTTTCGACACTAACTAAATGGCTGGGTCGAATTCAGCCGCTGTGAGGGGGAGAATTCTAAAGTCTGGCTGCTCTGAACGGTAGTCTTCCGTGATTTCTCCAATACTCAACAGGCCACGAACAGCCTGCGAACTGTCTTTCCTCTTCCTTGTCCTACGCTTTCCTCTTGCTACTCGCGCGACATTTCTTGACGTCTCGCAGAGCATGGTGCGGGAGGAGGCATTGAGAATAAAAATTGAGTAAAAAGTAAAAAAGTGAAAATAGAATTTATATTTGCACATTCCATAGTAAACTATAATTAAAATTAATTATTTTTCATGTTATTCATTCAATTTTCTCGTGGACCGTAGTTGGTGTTGTGACGGTATTAGTTATTTAATTTTAATTTGTTCTCACACATGGGGGCAGCTATTTGTAATGTCGACGCCTTGTTGGTAAGCCAGCTAGCTCATATTCTGCGGGATACATTGTTTCAGTAGAATGGAATGGGACGACTTTCAAAATAAACACAAGAAAACACGTGTTCAAATACAAATTTTCACATAATTTTAATTTTAATCCTTTAATATTTACAAACAAATCATAAAATGTTTCGAGCTCATTACCTGAATACATATTAAAATAAATTTGCGATTACAGGATCACATTAGAATTTGAAAGGCCAAAGCGTGGCCACGTCAAGTCATACATGAATCTTTCATTAAATTATTTCCAGTGCTTCCACGAGTAACAAAGAATCCCTTTTATTTGCCCAATTGACTTGAAGAGCTGTTAAACATATGCGCGGCTTTACGTCGAATACTCGACCTTTTCCTTGAGCGACGGTGCTGTCCGTCGCTACGACCGCGGGAGGTCGTTGTTCCGTCCGCTAGAGGCGCTGGCACGGTCGGCGCGGCCTCTCCGCATTTGACCAGGCCGGGGCGACCTTTTGACAGAAGCTCAGAAGGCGCCGGCCATTCACTGCGGGCGGCGGTGCGCGCTAACTGTCCACACCTCACGTTACAAGTATAATTAACGCATTCTTTCGCACTCTGTTATCAAATGAGAGCGGCAGGTTCTGAATAATTCACCTTCGTAAATGAACAGCAGCCATAACTTAACGGTGGTGCGAGATAATGCCCATAGCTATCGAAATTATCATTACTGGGGGCCACGTCACAACTAACGCACCCAGCATTTCGACTTCGTCATGCCCGGTAATACACTCAGACGTTCCATCTTATCGCGAGCTTCAATCTGCTAAATGATAATTCGATCAAGTTCCGAGATCACTTTACTAAACGATCGCGTACGAGGTAATTGCCATCTCTCACTTTGCGAGCCGCTCAAATAGACTGCCGGACAGTCTACCCGTCTGCAATTCGCCCGGCGCAGCAGTCGTGTTCCATCTATCTCTCCTTGCTTTATTCCCCTCCCCTCCCTTTCGGAGTGTCTAATCCCTTGTTCTCCTCGTCCTTTAGATTACGCGCTGTGAATGGTCAATCCAGTTGCGCATTTAAGTTTTTTGGCCAATCACTGCACGCGTCTCGAGTGTTCCAGAGTGTCCACTTTTCTAGTACCATCTCTTTCACCCCGAAAATGCCGATGCAAGCCTCGAGCACCACAGCCGTGTACTGAGTTGGTGATTCCAGTTGGAGATTCTCGCAACACCGTACGCGCCCTGGCCGGAGCGTCGTGGAGGGCCGAGTGGGGTGACAACGAGAAGTGAGAAGTGAGGACGTTCGTTCCATCGGCACGTACACAGAGGAAGGGTGGCAGGGTGCGGCAACGGCCACGCATCTTGGACAGTCCGTTGGATCGGAGGGGAGGAGCAGCCTTGGCTCTTCTCGGAACGGCGCTCTCCACACCTAAGGAAATACGGGTTTCCTAATATAGCGTAATATTGAGATAAATTGAGCAAGAACTGCTTATAATTTCATATTAAATAATGCCTCAATCTTTGCCGCTACAATGTGAAACCTGTATATATTTAATTAATTTCAAGCAGAAGTTGCGCAAAAAACTACTAATGTTTTCATAAAGTTGTACATAACCTTTTTTAAAGACTTTATTTTGTAATACAGGCTTGTCTATGGCAAAATCTCTTTCTCCAATTTTGAAGTTTTAATTTTTTTTTAATTTTCGAAAAATCGGAGATATTAACTAAAGCACCTGGTATTCTACTACACTAACTATGGCACCTGCACCATTCTCTAATCGTTTTTTGCACTATTCAACAACAAAATTTAATCAAAACATTTGGAGCCTTTTTTTGAAAATTTTGAAAATGTCTCAACGGCTTCATGAATATACCCCTCAAAATTAAAATATCCCAAGGGCCGCGATATTATCTAAAACGAGTGGAGAATATCAATTTTGAAGAAAATCGGCTTAAAAGTTTATGCGCTAGCGTTGTGCACAGACGGACAGACGAAGGAAGACAGAAGTTAAGCCGTCAATCGATAATGTGAGAAATTAAGTGTTATTGCAGCATCTCTAGTTATTTGTATAACTTTGAATTTTCAAAAATAGAGGCCGGAATAGCTTTCCATAGAGCGTAAAGTTAGACCCAAATTTTGGATGTGGTATTTTTCAGACGTTCTTGAGTTGTATTGCATGTTAACTCATAATATCTGTAATCTGTTTGCTTTGAACAGTTCTGATTTGTGTACAAATGATTCTGGGAAACGTTTAGAAGAGTCTAAAAATCTGGAAAAAGGCTAAAGCCTAAAGATCAGACTAAAATAAACCATTTAATTTTGGATGTGATTGGTCTGTGTATTTGAGGGGAGCGCTAATGGCTTTAAATAACTCGACTGCCCTATCAACATATGGGGAAATGCTGTGTATGAAAATGGTATGTTATAGTTTTACTGGATAACGGAGAAAATATCGCACGTGGCACATGGCCCATTTGTTAGCAAATTTTACCGGAAGCATGTGCGGAGCTGCGAGCGTGCGTGGCTGGAACGGCGTATCTCTATGGGGAGGTACTCCACGGAGGAATCCACGCCAGCTACGTGCAGATCGGCGTCAAATCTCACGATCCAGCAGGGGATAACACCAACACCTCCAGGCCACAACATTCACGTCACCAAACGAACAAAGGAGTTGACGTGCCTGGAAACACTAAGGACCGGTTTCACCAATCAAAGAGTAAGAGTTTACTCTAGAGTAAATCATTTTTACTCGAGAGTAACGACTTGGAGCGTTTCACTAACACTTTACTCGAGTATAAATCGTTTACACGAGAGTAAATCCGAGAATAACTTAACAATGCGAAAATCCATCGGGTAAAGTACGGAGTAAATTCAGTTTTCAACGTGCATGTACCTCCGAAGTGCTGTTACGGCCCGACAATTACGAATGATAGTATTTGAAGACGATTCCAGCAATGATTCGGAATATTATCCACTAGTGCGAAGACAAAGGGTGCGAGAGAGAATGGATTGGCTTTAATTGTGACGATCGAGATTTTGTCATGATGTTATGTTTGACCAAATCAGCTGTTTAACTTCATAGATACATTGTAAACTGTAGAGAACTTCTAAAGTTCTTTTTCTCCCTTGTGGATACGAATTAAAGGTAGTACGTACCGAATACGATAACAAAAGGAAAAATAATAACTACAGGGACTATAAGAACTAAGAAATATTCATTTATTTATTCAGAAAAAAACTGTATGTGACGTATGGGGGAGATCATTTGCGCACGTTTTCTTGAGTCCCAGAATCCCTTTCCAACATTTTAACTACAAATAGTTGAAAAGTGAACAAACGTTTAAAAAATAAAACAACGACCAATTATAATATTAAAAAAACACGATATCAGCAACATTTAAAAAACTAAACATTTTCGTTCGCTAGTTATAGAAAATTAATTTGCCCCGCCATCGGTAAACTAACTGCAAATTTGATTTTTCTGCATTGCTAACAAAATAGTAACTCATCTCCAGAGAAGAAGAATGAATATTTATTAAGAAATAAAGATACAGAAACTAGGAAATAAACTATGCTAACTTAAACCATCATAACACCACACCAGCTTATAACGCCAAGAACTCGGTAACTGAATTGAATGATAGAATATAAGTACGAGTAATTAGTCAAAGGTTCGCGTTGGTCCGCCTTGGTTCCCAGCGTCGTGCTCGCTCACAACCTCTTGAATCGCTCTCAAAAATTGTGTGCTCAGCTGATTTGCGGAGTAAATCGGAGAGAATGTACTCTAGAGTAAAATAACCCTCTAGAAGCATGGTGAAACGCTCATATTTTTCTCTAGAGTTACTATCTTAGAGTAAATGGTTACTCTCGAGTAATTACTCTCAACTTTACTCGGCTGTTGGTGAAACCGGCCCTAAATAATCACTTGGATGATTTTTTTTCTAATAGTGTGTGCCCGCTGTCCACAGGTAATGCTGTGTATGAAAATGGTGTGTGTTAGTTTTACTGGATAACGGAGAAAATATCGCACGTGGCACATGGCCCATTTGTTAGCAAATTTTACTGGAAGCATGTGCGGAGCTGCGAGCGTGCGTGGCTGGAACGGCGTATCTCTATGGGGAGGTACTCCACGGAGGAATCCACGCCAGCTACGTGCAGATCGTCGTCAAATCTCACGATCCAGCAGGGGATAACACCAACACCTCCAGGCCACAACATTCACGTCACTATACGAAAAAAGGAGTCGACGTGCCCGGAAACACTGAATAATCACTCCGATGGTTTTCTTTCTAATGGCGTGTGCCCGCTGCCTGCAGGATGCTGAGGTACGTGGTGAACGACAGCCACGTATTCGACGCCCCCGTCTCAGGCAATGTGGTGCTGCCCT